GCTCTCAAAATACTAAAATTTTATATTAACGACTCCACTATGTGGATCATTAACATAAAATTTGGGGGTGGATTGTGACGCCTCATAATTATTATTAATAAATAATAATTAAATTCATTATATAGACATTTAGAAATTATAATTTAAACAGTAAAATGCAAATAATAAGCATAAAGTTCAAAAATATCCATTTGGAATATTGAATATTATAATATTAGAAACGCATAAAATGTCTCTAAAAATCTCTAAATTTATTAAAAACCTGCTTAAAATGTTCAAAATGTATCAAATTAAATAAATACAAGGCGATTATATTGCAATAACAAAGATAAATAACATTTGTAATATAATAGAAAAAATGGATTAAAATTTTCTAAGTTGATGAAGGTGTTCGTGTAATAATTGGAAAATTTCAAAGTTAATGAACGTGTTCTTGTAATGTTCCCTTATATTGGGGCGTTGTCGGAGACACATACCCAAGGTTGTACATATATATGGGGTGGTCGGCTGACCGACTGCTAGTACTAAGGTTGCACAATGACTAGTCCTATATTAGGGACTTAACATAGTAAGGTCTGTCGAACCAAAGCATTAATATAGAAGGTCTCTATGATGCATAAGCATTATGATAGCAGAGTTATGACTTGAAGTCCCATATGAATAAGACATACAGTAGTATGGTCTATGAAATAAAGCAAATATGTGGAAGGTCTCAAATATGTAAAAGCATTATATTGAAAGAAATGGGACTTGAAAAGGATTATTATAGTGGCGTGTAGGTTGCTTCGCAGCCTCTGAGACCGAGGTAAACTTGGACTCACTAACCGATGTGTCCTAGACATATCATCTTAGTGCCGGTGGTAAGCGGGTTTGTTGTAGCAATACGACTTGCCCGTGGACATCGCACACCCCTACCGGTTGTGGGCGGCGTCTTAGCGCATAGCGTTATGATACGTCGGCTATCTTTCGGATTAGGGTGAGTGTGTTTGGTAGTACTTTTAAGTGCAGCAAGCATACTCAACTTCATGTCTTAGTGCAATAGCGCTATGATACGTGGAGTTTTGGCTACTGACGTCTTAGTACCGTACTACTATGATACGTTGGTGGTATTTTTAGTTAACAACATTATCAAATTTTGTTACCAAAGTCGATAGGGATCATGTGGGTGTGTTGTGAGGGGGCGCCATCCGTATGATAGTTGCATTGATGCTTACTGCTACTTGCAGTATTGTGTCTTGTGATGGATCTGCGGGTGTGCTGCACCTGATTCGATGCATCTTGTGGTTCTGGTCGATGGAGGTATGCGGGTGGTGATGTCTGCTGGGACTGTATGGGGGACCTTGGGATGGTGTAAGCCCGACGATAGTCGTATTGATGCTTGTTGCATTCTGTAGCATTGCGTCTCTACGATGGTTGTTTGGCGGGTCGCTATTCTCAATGGCGCTCTCTGCGTCTTGGTTTGACTCACAACCTAAGTAGCTTTGCCCAAGTCGGGTCCCTTCATAGCGGGGCTGCAGACTGTCTGCCCTCCATGATGTTTTATATAACAACTTAATAGTATATCTCTATAAAGTTCCCACCTTTGAGAGATTGAAGGCAACTTGTTGGTGGGTGAGACAAACATGATCGAAAAATGCATATACTCAACGTCAGTGACACAAACCCTTTCTGATGGCGAATTATTAATATTATCTTATAACTGCTTATTGGCTATATCTGCCATTGTATTGGTTGGTGGAGCATATGTGTTGACCTCATGCGGGTGGTAGCTGGAGGGAGAATCTGAGGAGGCTCTCAAGGCTGCGGCCGAAAGCCGCGCAACGTGGGACCCCATTCCCTTGAGGTGAGCGGTAGACTCATGACACGCTCTGCGGCCAATTGGCCGTGCTGACCATGCAATTGGTGGTGATGCCTTACACTTACATCACGTCTGCAGGAACGGCGGTCTGGCAGGTGGTGGCGCTCACGGAAGGCTTTTTATGGTCAGTGTGCCGATTGTTGCCTAACCCGTGTGACGTACATTTCACTGTGGCTGGATTTGATCGTATTCTGTATGGCGTTTACACGCATTGACATGCGCGACTTCGGTCGATGTTTGTGCTTACGCACTATCAAGGGGCCAAGTCCTCTTTTACTGGTTCGCCAGTTATTTTGCTGTGGACTACGGTCCAGTTCCCAACTTTGCGTACCCTTCGGGGGGAGCGCATTAAAATGGTTGGCGCTCACCGTGCGCGGCGTGTGTGGGGCCGTGTACCTCCTCCACATTTTTTTTAAAATGTGGGAGAGCGAAGCCCTTGTAACTGGTATTTGATATAAATATTGTGAGCCTTTTCCAAGCGGGAAGGGATTAATTAATAAGGAATTGACTGTTGTGAACCAGATACAAGTGGAATAGGGACAATTTATTGTTCTTAACCTTTTTGAGCTCTGTCTTCGTGAACGGGGTTCTTTAGCTTATAAGACTCTACCAACAGCTTTCGATTGCTCTCGTGAATATTCATTCTTCCAAGATACACCTAAAAGAACTAAGTTACTATACAAACACAACCTAAAAAAGGGTCCTAACTAAGACGATCACGCCATAAATTTATTAAACGGCCTATATTTAAACCTTTAGAAAGATCAAGTTATACTGGTCACGTAAATTAGATGTATTTATATATCTTATAGATATAGATTCTAAAGAAATACAAGTATAAGTGGGATATAGTAGAAAAGAAAAAAGATGGGGAGGGGGTTCGTTACAATTTGGTGCCGTGACCAGGATAAAGGTTAAATTTTAAATAGGAGACCGGTAATATAAAATTATGAGGTAGGCTATATGCCTACAATTTGTTGTCCGTGAAATCGAGAGGTGTCTTGGAGAGTGGTGTTTGCTGGGGGTGGTTGAGAGTCTGGGGGTGGGGCTTAAATATTAAAATTGAGTAATAATATAGGAGGTGTGTGCATAACGGAGCGAAATAATAAAAAGTGAAATAAGTGGAAAGACTCAATTAAACTAAGTGAAGGACACAACAGGTGTAAAAAAAAAAAAAAACCGCAATACTATATATTATAAAGTGAAATAAGTGGAAAAACTCAAAGTAAGTGAAGGACGCAAAAAGTATAAAAAAAAAAGTGGAAATAAAAATTAAAATGGCTAAAAATAAGAAAAAATCAACCTTAATTAAGGCTAAGCCTAAAGATGAGATGAAAATGCTTCAGAAATTAATTAAGAATGCAGTGAAAACCTTTGAGGTTAAAATAAAGGATCTTGAGGAAAAATTTATAAACCAAACGAAAGATTACCAAATTAAAATAAATCAAGGAGAGGTGTCCGGGGCGAGCACCTCTCATGTAAATGATCCTAGACAAAATATTGTATATAATGTACATAATGTAACAATAGAAAAGCCGAAATTTGGAAATGGAAATACTCATCCAGTATCATTTTTGGAAGATCTCACCAATTATTTAAAGAAAGTTCCATCTAATGGTCTCGAAATTTCGATAACACAAGAGTGCTTAGTAGGTGAAGCCAAGTATTGGGCTCGCATTAATAATGAGCGTTGGACAACTTTTGATGATTTTAAAGCTGACTTCCTAAGAGTGTTTTGGGGTGAAGAAGAACAAAATAAAGTAAAGAGATTTCTTGTGCAAAATAAATGGAATAGAAGTACACACCCCACCATGGTTAGTTATTTTCTTTATGTTGTTGAGAAGGCACAAACATTATCATATCCGATACCTGAAAAACAATTAGTAACTGATGTCATCAGACATTATCCTAAAACTGTGCAGCAATTATGGAGAATAGCTAAAATTGAGACAATGATAGACACGACAGATTTCTTAAGAAACTTAGATGATATCGACAAACAAGATGAAGGTCGTGAACCTTACTATAATGAGAAAAGGAGGAAGTTTAATAATAATACGGAGCAAAAACATAAAGAAATACAACAATCATACAAAACATGGCGTAAACCCGAAGAGGGAAAAAAGAAGGTTAATGAAGTACATGAAATACATTTCACTAATGACCAACCTGATGTTACGGCTCCTGAGCCAAATTTAGAGCTGGAGAGGTCGAACTAGTTCCCGATTCGACCCCTTACAATGTAAAAGGGAACAAAGCATTAAATATGTTATTAAAACTGGGTTGGCGACCTGGTCAAACATTGGGTAAAAACAATAGAGGGTTGCGAAAACCTATTACTTTAAAAGCAAATTTTAACAGAGAAGGCCTTGGTTATAACGACAATGTAAATAGCATATTAAACACCTTAAAAGCCAGGTCGGACTTGCCCATAACGGAATTATTCGTGCAAACCGTCTTCGAGGAAGACGAAGATAAATATCAAAGGGAATTTATAGGGAATATGAGATCTGAAATTAAAGTTTCAATATTTGACAAAGAAAAAGACGCACTCCTCGACACTGGGAGCGATGTTACATGCATTTCAGAAAGTTTATATTTACAAATTAAAGAAAATAATCGTAAAATATCAATAATGCCAGTTAAAGCAATGCAAATAAAAGGTGCTGTTGGGCAGCGCAGCACAAAAATACAACAGATGATCATATTGCCTATAAAGATAGATGAAGTAGTCTTTGAAACACAAACTTTAATTGTAGGTAATTTAATAAGACCTTTAATATTAGGCTTTGACTGGCTCAAGAGAAATAAAATATTGATTGATTTGAGAAATACTACTGTTGGAATAGAATTTAAAGTGAAAAACAAAGACTACTTTATACCTTTCAAATATAATAATAAATCTGTATTACATAATAACTGCATCAAACAATGTACCGATGATCCCTTAATAAATATAAAAATAGGATCTACATTAGAGGTCTCTGAAAGGGCAAAACTTAGTAAGGTTTTGGAAAAGCATAAGAATATGTTTTCGAGCATATTGGGAAGAGCCAATTGCTATGAGCATAAAATTGAAATGATCGATGATGAACCTATAGTTACTAGGTCCTATCCCATTCCATATGCATATAGAGCGAAAATGGAAGAAAAGTTAAATGAAATGGAACAAGCTGGTATCATCACAAGGACATCAACGCCTTACAGTAGTCCATTGACATTCACTCTTAAAAAAGACGGCTCAATTAGAGTTCTGCTTGATGCCAGAAGCATAAATAAGAAAATGGTTGCAGAAACAGAGAAACCACCTATACAATTAGATGTTTTGAATTCATTTCACGGAGCGAATTATATCACTACCATTGACTTAAATAATACATATTTTCAAATTCCGATAAATAAAGATGGTAGAAAACATACTGGATTCACATTCAATGGAAAGTCATATGTATATAATGTTTTGCCGCAAGGATTAAAAACATCAGTAGGAAGCTTTAGCAGAGCCATGAATTTAATATTAGGACCAGAAGTCCAAGAATTTTGTGTGAACTATTTAGATGATCTAGCCATTATTACAACAGGAACGTTAGATAAACATTTGGAGCACATTGATATTGTTTTAAGTAAATTGAACAAAGCTGGCTTAACGTGTAACTTGCAGAAATGTGAATTTATTTGTAAAGAAATTAAAATGCTGGGTTTTATAATTTCAACAGAAGGCATAAAGACAGATCCCGATAAGATTTGAGCGATCCAAGAGTTTCCAGCACCTAAAAAGATTAAACAATTAAGGGCCTTTTTAGGTCTATGCAATTTTTATAGAAGGTTTATACCAAATTACAGCGAGAGCATAATACCGCTCTGTGAATTACTTAAAAAGGGACGAAAGTTCCAATGGAGTGGTAAAGAACAGAAGGCATTTGATTTTATAAAACAACAATTTATTAATACAATACAATTGCATCATCCAGACTTTAATAAGCCGTATTATTTACAAATAGATTGTTCCGGTGTGGGTATGGCCGGAGTACTATATCAGATAGATGATAATAATGAAATGTGAATTTTAGGCTATCATAGTAAAGCCTTAAAAGGCCCCGAATTAAATTGGTCTGTTACTGAACAAGAGTTTTATGCTGTAATAAGCTGCCTAAAGAAATTTGAAACATATTTGCGGGGCAGTAAAGTAATAATACTAACTGATCATAAAGCATTATTGTTTATTAATTATATGAAGTTATTCAATGGTAGAGTAACCCGATGGATTTTGTATATAGAACAATTTAATTATGAAGTACAGCATATATCGGGTAGACGTAATATTGTTGCAGATGTGCTATCACGTTATCCTCCTGATGGCGATTTAATACAAGAGGATAAAAATAATAGTTTAGAAATTGCTTACACAGAGAGCGAACCGAATATTGAGTTGATAGAAAAATTAAAATCCTTATCAGTATATCAATTACAAGATTCAGAGTCGTTGGCTATTATTGAAAAGTTAAAGACATTAAATACTTCCATAATAAAACAAAACAATAAATTTAAAAGATATAGTTTGAAAAATGATATATTATATTACAAAACGAATTTACAAGAAGTAATATATTTACCTAAAGCATTGAGACAAGATATTATAAATCAAGTGCATGTCGAAATGGGTCATCAAGGACCCTATAAGGTAATTAAATATGTAAGAGACAGATTCTTTTGGAAAGGTTTAACAAAAGATATTAAAAACCAATTAAGGGCTTGTCATTTATGTCAGTTATCTAAGAAAAAAAATAATATAACATATGTGGGTCCCTGCAAATCTATAATAACAGAAAACATTGGCGATATAGTCATGGCAGACTTATATGGACCGCTTGTATCAGGTACCTTTGGGTACACTTTCATATTTGTCATTCAAGATTCATTCAGTAAATTTATCAAATTATATCCTTTAAAACAGTCAACAGCAAAGTCTGTTGTAACAAAAGTAAAGCATTTTGTTGAGATTATAAAGCCCAAGGCAGTAATGACAGATAATGGAAAACAGTTCGTAAGTAAACACTGGAAACAATCAATGAGTGAATTAAATATAAAGCCAATATATACCACAGTTAGAAATCCTACACCAAATACAACAGAGCGAGTAAATAAAGAGTTGAGCAGATTATTTAGGACGCTTTGTCATACTAACCACAAAGATTGGGCGTTAATATTGCCGAAATTAGAAGAATTGTATAATAATTCTTATCACAATAGTACAGGCTTCACGCCTTGTGAGATTCTTTATGGTGAGTCTAATGAGATGTCTTTTGACAAAGTAATTTCCAAAAGTAAAGACAAACATAATGTCGAACAAATTAGACAACAAGTGCGTAAAAATTTAAAAGAGGCAAGTCGAATAAGAAACACAAAATTTGATAAGCGAAATAGATTAATAAAATATAATATTGGTGACTTAGTAAAAATTTCAAGATATAGTAGATCAGACGCTGATAATAAAGTTATGAGTAAGTTCAATTTGGCATATGAAGGGCCTTATGTAATAGCAGCCGTACCATTTGACAATGTATATACCTTAGCAAATCCAGAGACAAACGAAATTAGAGGAATTTTTAATGCTATTCACTTATTAAAATATTTTAAATAATAATTTCTTTTTGTATAAATTAAAATAATTAAATAAATATTGTAACATAAAAGGGTTTTGTGGGTGGCCCATGGAAATAATTGTTTAAGTTAAAGGTCTAAAATTATTAAAGTTATGAGCAAGAGATTTGTTATATGATAGTAGAACGTTATTAATATATAATGAAGAGTTGTAAATATAGATCGTAAGATAATTTTTTAATCATTTTTATTAAATAAATGTGGGAGTTGGGTCAGGGCGAATGGCTCAAACACATTTATCCTATGTGGTATCGAACTGACCTCAACAAATATCCAACTGGATTGTATGCACATAAAGTGTGACACTATCGAAATAATGTTTCAAAGATTTAAAGATAAATTAATAAAATAAGAAATCGACAATTGACTGCAAACTTTATTAACAACACGATATACAATAACTTGAATTATGGTGTTATCACATTGTGATAATTGTGGTTGAAGGGGTGTTGGTGGCGGCCATTCTCTATATTTGATAACATATGCCGTATTGTAACAGATTAAAAGAGGAAAGAACAGATATATAAACAATTATTTGAGTGTAGTGTATATGCTCTCAAAATACTAAAATTTTATATTAACGACTCCACTATGTGGATCATTAACATAAAATTTGGGGGTGGATTGTGACGCCTCATAATTATTATTAATAAATAATAATTAAATTCATTATATAGACATTTAGAAATTATAATTTAAACAGTAAAATGCAAATAATAAGCATAAAGTTCAAAAATATCCATTTGGAATATTGAATATTATAATATTAGAAACGCATAAAATGTCTCTAAAAATCTCTAAATTTATTAAAAACCTGCTTAAAATGTTCAAAATGTATCAAATTAAATAAATACAAGGCGATTATATTGCAATAACAAAGATAAATAACATTTGTAATATAATAGAAAAAATGGATTAAAATTTTCTAAGTTGATGAAGGTGTTCGTGTAATAATTGGAAAATTTCAAAGTTAATGAACGTGTTCTTGTAATGTTCCCTTATATTGGGGCGTTGTCGGAGACACATACCCAAGGTTGTACATATATATGGGGTGGTCGGCTGACCGACTGCTAGTACTAAGGTTGCACAATGACTAGTCCTATATTAGGGACTTAACATAGTAAGGTCTGTCGAACCAAAGCATTAATATAGAAGGTCTCTATGATGCATAAGCATTATGATAGCAGAGTTATGACTTGAAGTCCCATATGAATAAGACATACAGTAGTATGGTCTATGAAATAAAGCAAATATGTGGAAGGTCTCAAATATGTAAAAGCATTATATTGAAAGAAATGGGACTTGAAAAGGATTATTATAGTGGCGTGTAGGTTGCTTCGCAGCCTCTGAGACCGAGGTAAACTTGGACTCACTAACCGATGTGTCCTAGACATATCATCTTAGTGCCGGTGGTAAGCGGGTTTGTTGTAGCAATACGACTTGCCCGTGGACATCGCACACCCCTACCGGTTGTGGGCGGCGTCTTAGCGCATAGCGTTATGATACGTCGGCTATCTTTCGGATTAGGGTGAGTGTGTTTGGTAGTACTTTTAAGTGCAGCAAGCATACTCAACTTCATGTCTTAGTGCAATAGCGCTATGATACGTGGAGTTTTGGCTACTGACGTCTTAGTACCGTACTACTATGATACGTTGGTGGTATTTTTAGTTAACAACATTATCAAATTTTGTTACCAAAGTCGATAGGGATCATGTGGGTGTGTTGTGAGGGGGCGCCATCCGTATGATAGTTGCATTGATGCTTACTGCTACTTGCAGTATTGTGTCTTGTGATGGATCTGCGGGTGTGCTGCACCTGATTCGATGCATCTTGTGGTTCTGGTCGATGGAGGTATGCGGGTGGTGATGTCTGCTGGGACTGTATGGGGGACCTTGGGATGGTGTAAGCCCGACGATAGTCGTATTGATGCTTGTTGCATTCTGTAGCATTGCGTCTCTACGATGGTTGTTTGGCGGGTCGCTATTCTCAATGGCGCTCTCTGCGTCTTGGTTTGACTCACAACCTAAGTAGCTTTGCCCAAGTCGGGTCCCTTCATAGCGGGGCTGCAGACTGTCTGCCCTCCATGATGTTTTATATAACAACTTAATAGTATATCTCTATAAAGTTCCCACCTTTGAGAGATTGAAGGCAACTTGTTGGTGGGTGAGACAAACATGATCGAAAAATGCATATACTCAACGTCAGTGACACAAACCCTTTCTGATGGCGAATTATTAATATTATCTTATAACTGCTTATTGGCTATATCTGCCATTGTATTGGTTGTTGGAGCATATGTGTTGACCTCATGCGGGTGGTAGCTGGAGGGAGAATCTGAGGAGGCTCTCAAGGCTGCGGCCGAAAGCCGCGCAACGTGGGACCCCATTCCCTTGAGGTGAGCGGTAGACTCATGACACGCTCTGCGGCCAATTGGCCGTGCTGACCATGCAATTGGTGGTGATGCCTTACACTTACATCACGTCTGCAGGAACGGCGGTCTGGCAGGTGGTGGCGCTCACGGAAGGCTTTTTATGGTCAGTGTGCCGATTGTTGCCTAACCCGTGTGACGTACATTTCACTGTGGCTGGATTTGATCGTATTCTGTATGGCGTTTACACGCATTGACATGCGCGACTTCGGTCGATGTTTGTGCTTACGCACTATCAAGGGGCCAAGTCCTCTTTTACTGGTTCGCCAGTTATTTTGCTGTGGACTACGGTCCAGTTCCCAACTTTGCGTACCCTTCGGGGGGAGCGCATTAAAATGGTTGGCGCTCACCGTGCGCGGCGTGTGTGGGGCCGTGTACCTCCTCCACATTTTTTTTAAAATGTGGGAGAGCGAAGCCCTTGTAACTGTTATTTGATATAAATATTGTGAGCCTTTTCCAAGCGGGAAGGGATTAATTAATAAGGAATTGACTGTTGTGAACCAGATACAAGTGGAATAGGGACAATTTATTGTTCTTAACCTTTTTGAGCTCTGTCTTCGTGAACGGGGTTCTTTAGCTTATAAGACTCTACCAACAGCTTTCGATTGCTCTCGTGAATATTCATTCTTCCAAGATACACCTAAAAGAACTAAGTTACT